TTTTTAACAAAAAAGTGTGAGGTTTACAAAAAAAAATTGCACAGCAACAATTCTTGTAACAAACTCGTTGTCTAAAAAAAATTGTCGTAGGTTTCCATTAAAAAAAAAAATACTATGTTTATCTCGTAAGTATAAACAAATAATTAATATTCAAAAAAAAATTTAATAGCATTAGCCATTGCTCACTTATAAATTTATTTGCCAAAAAATTTGATAGTTTCGCCAGAATAACATCGTTTCCAGACTTTTGGAACACCCCTGTATATCGGATGTGTCACGTGGCGGCTGTGCCAGCGGACGCGAATGACAATTGAGTATAAAAATGTGACGTTTGTGGTTGTTGCCAACTTGACGACACAAATCGCAATTATGAAAGTTTAAATTTATGTTTTTCTCTGAAAATCGTTTTAGAGGTGCGACACATCGTCCGAAAAGCCAGTACTTTGGACGTTAGCACTGTCAAAGTCTCGCTGAAAGACATCGTGTGCTACCTCTCCCTCCTCGAAGCCGGGCGGCCCGAAGACAAGCTGGAATGTAGGTATTTCCGCCCCCTGGCAACCCCCAATACCTCCTTCCGTTTCAGTTATGTTCCGGTTGTATGACACGGACGGAAACGGCGTTTTAGACACCAACGAGATGGACTGTATCGTAAACCAAATGATGACCGTGGCTGAATACCTCGGTTGGGATGTTTCAGAGCTGAAACCTGTAAAAAACCCCCTGAAAACGCGCCACAATCCTCATGCACGTGTTTCAGATCCTGCAAGACATGATGGTGGAGATCGACTACGACGCCGATGGGACTGTCTCTCTGGAGGAGTGGAAAAGGGGCGGTTTGACCACCATCCCCCTGCTGGTCCTGCTGGGCCTCGACACGAATGTCAAAGAAGACGGGAACCATTTATGGAGATTGAAACATTTCAGCAGGCCGGCGTATTGCAACCTCTGTCTGAATATGTTGGTCGGGTTGGGCAAGAAAGGGTTGTGTTGCACGTGTTAGTGAACGGGGGATTCACAGGCGGGATGGAACAAGGGATCTACTTTACCGACATTAAATAAAAGTATTTTTTACGAGTTTCTTTTATTTTTTTTCCGAGGAAACACACATAAAAACGTTTAATTTTTAACGAGAGTCGTTTTATGGTAGGACCTTTGACTTTTAAGGGCCTAAATAACGCAAGCCTAAGTGATTATCGACCGATTTCTGAATCAATGGACTTGAAAGATAAGCGGGATTGGGGATTCACTGCTCCAGGGGTGCCAACCTTTGAATAACACTGTTAAAGGAAGTTTTGATCACTAAACCACGATTTTTCCTAAATTATGTTTGTCTAAAAATATAAATTTTGCTAAATTTTGTCATATTTTCGTTAGTTTCAAGCCCATTTACCAACACAAAAACACTTTTTCGGCTATTTTTTCGTGTAGTTTTTTGCTTATTTATTAATGAAAATCTAAGATTTTCAACAGATTTCGCTGAACTGTTTCAACAAACTCCAAAACACGTTATTTGAACAACTTTTTTTATTTTAATGCAATGGAGTGATAACAAGATTTTTCAGCTACGTTTTTGAGATATTTTTGCTTGATTTAATTGATTTTTAAATTCTTCTCATTTTAAGAATTTTATTTCCATTAGGGCATCAAGTCTTGCTTGTTTTTCAATGAAAATAAATAATATTAAGAAATTTTGCTGGAAATAATTTTTTATTCTTCTTACATCATATTTTTTTGAGAAATTTTCTTTAATTAAAGTTAATTTTGTTAATTCTTTAGATTTTGTGTCATTTTATTTTTAATGTTTTGTCTAGTTTTTTTCTTATTTTTTGACAAAAATCCAATAGATTTCGCTGGATCGAAATCAAAAATTGTAAAATTAGGTTTTTTTGATTTAATTTCGAATATCTTCGAAACTTCAGATCGTATTTTTTTTTAAGTTTTTTAATTAAAAAATGAGATTGTAAGATTTGGTTACAAATCTATTATTTCTGCTTGTTTCTTCGATTTCACGCATTTTTCAACGAAAAATCTTGTCTAGTATTTAAAATTTGTGTTATTTTCATTAATTTCAAGTCGACAAGAAAAAATAGTATATTATTCAAGCAGTGAGAAAATTTACGCGAGTGAAAATGACCATTTCTCCCAAGCTTAATACTATATTATGTCTAATCTTAAATAATACTGTGATATTTTTTTTACTTTTTATAATTTTTTTATTTAATTTTCTTCACAGAGTTGAAGATTGAATAACTTCCTCAACTCAAAACAGTTGAGAAAATTTTAATTTCTTTAACATGATTAGAAAAATTCTTTTTCGGCTATTACGTGTGGTTTTTTTGTTTGTTTACTAATGAATATCTTAGATTTTAAACATATTTTGGTTTTATCCTACAAAAACATTCCAAAACAAGACGTTTTTCTTTTTAAAAATATTATTTTTGTCTGTTTTGTTTGGTTTTATGACAAAAATCCAAAAGATTTTAATAGATTTTGCTGAATCGAAGTCAAACATTGCAAAATTAAGTTTTTTTATTTAATTTTGATTATCTTCAAAACTTCAGATTGTATTTTTCAAGAGGTTTTTTAACTAAAAAATGAAATTGTAAGATTTGGTTATAAATCTATTATTTCTGCTTGTTTCTTCGATTTGACGCATGTTTCAACGAAAATCTTGTCTACTATTTAAACTTTGTTTTATTTTCATTAATTTCAAGTCGACAAGAAAAAATAGTATATTATTCAAGCAGTGAGAAAATTTACGCGAGTGAAAATGACCATTTCTCACAAGCTTAGTACTATACTATTTCTAATCTTAAATAAAACTGTGGTATATTTTTACTTTTTTTTAAATTTTTTATTTAATTTTTTTCACAGATTTGAAGATTGAATAACTTCCTCAACTAAAAACAGTTGAGAAAATTTTAATTTCTTTAACATGATTAGAAAAATTCTTTTTCGGCTATTACGTATGTTTTTTTTTGTTTGTTCACTAATGAAAATCTTAGATTTTAAACATATTTTGGTTTTATCGTATAAAAACATTCCAAAACAAGACGTGTTTCTTTTTAAAAATATCATTTTTGTCTGTTTTGTCAGGTTTTTTGCCAAAAATCCAAAAGATTTTAATAGATTTCGCTGAATCGAAGTCAAAAATTGTAAAATTAAGTTTTTTTTTATTTAATTTTGATTATCTTCAGAACTTCAAATTGTATATTTTTCAAGAGGTTTTATAATTAAAAAATGAAATTGTAAGATTTGGTTATAAATCTATTATTTCTGCTTATTTCTTCGATTTGTCTACTATTTAAAGTTTGTGTTATTTTCATTAATGTCAAGTCGACAAAAAAAATAGTATATTATTCAAGCAGTGAGAAAATTTACGGGAGTGAAAATGACCATTTCTCACAAGCTTAGTACTATTCTTAAATAATACTGTGATATTTTTTTAATTTTCTACTTAATTTTTTTCACAGAGTTGAAGAAAACAGTTGAGAAAATTTCAATTCTTTAATATCATTAGAAAAATTCTTTTTGCCCTATTACGTGTGTTTTTTTTTGTTTGTTTACTAATGAAAATCTTAGATTTTAAACATATTTTGGTTTTATCGTATAAAAACATTCCAAAACAAGACGTTTTTCTGTTCAAAAATACGATTTTCGACTCAATTAGCCCTAAAAATCCACATTTGTTCAATTTTTTACTTGATATTTTTTTCACTTTGATATCTTATTTTGAAACCCTTTTTCCATCCTAAACGAGTCGGCTAACAAGCAGGTGGGAGTAAATTTGTGTAGTTGCTATAGAAATATAAATTGAAGAATTTATATAACTATGGTAACATGATACAAAGAGTAATAAAATAGAAGTCATAGTAACAAGAAAAAATTGAGTTCAGTGGCGGGTACTAAAAAATTATACACTTTTTGCCACACCAGGTATAACAAAATAATGAAAATATTTTTGGGTAAAAAAATCCAAATCAACACCCGAATTTAATTGAAAACAGACAATTGAAGTGTCATGAGAGTGAATTTATCTCTTTGTTTTCATACTTCTGAAAATGAAAGAAATACGAAAGCTTTGCTCCCGATTCACAGAGCTTAAACTCCAATAAATTATGTTTAATTCATCTTTTGTCCGTTATTCCACGCCGCCTTCGCCCTTATCTTTTCATCATAAATCTCCCCATCTGTTGCTCGTGAAAATTTCCGCTTTGTTTTGTTTTTTCAGTCTGCAAATACACCGTTCACGAGCGATGTGTTGCACGAGCGCCGGCGAGCTGCATCGCCACCTACGTCAAGAGCAAAAAGTCCTCTCAAACGCTGCAACACCATTGGGTGGAGGGGAACTGTCAGGGGAAATGCTCGAGGTGCCGGAAGCCCGTCAAAGCCGGCATTACGGGCCTGCACTGTCGATGGTGTCAGATAACGGTGAGCGCAATCGGCCCCCAAAAGGGCCATTTCGGCCCAATTACCGAGTCGGGACGCGTGTTTTGCGAGAAAATATTTGTCTTAGGTCGCCGATGAACCACTGTTTTCACCGCAAACACGCCTTCGCAAAGAAAACAAGCGGTTTTAGACACATTTTGATGAAATTCTGATGCAATATTGCGGGAAACTTCAATATAGACCCCAAAAACAGCTTTCCGAGACAAGAAACCTAGATTTTTTTCCTTTTAATAAGGAGAACAAAAATGGAAAATCATCATTTTTCTCAGGTTTTTTATTTATTTTTAATCGAAGTGCTCTTCACTTCGAAATTAAGTTGGCAACATTGAATAATGTAACAGAAGTGTCATTTCTTCTATTATTCAAAGTTGTCAACTTAAGTTTTCAAAGTCTTAGGCCAATGTTAATGTTAGACAGTAATTCGTATTTATCACAAAAAAACAATAAAATGATTGATTTTGCCTTCAAATTGTAGTTCTTGCCAATTGGTATTGAATTAAATGGTCACTGTTTTATTTTGGTAAAAATTGAAAAGCGAGTAAAAATTTTGCATGAAAAAAACACTAAAACTGTATTTATTTACACTCATTTATAATTAATTCGATTTTGGCTCGATGTAGTTTAAAGGTGATTTGCGGTGTTATTATTGGTCGTCGAGGGTTGAAACAAACACGAATCGATTCGGCGATAAATTTTGTATCAGTCATTTGTTTCCACCAAAAAATTATTTTTCGTTTGATGTTGAAATTTTTTAGTGTTGTCAAAAACCCAAATTTTAAAAGTGATTTGTGACGTCTATAGTAGACATAGAAACATGAAACTGATCAATTTTCTACAGGAATCTCTTATTATTTCAAAGATTTAGTCCTAAAGTGAAAATAAATATTCAAACAGCTTTTGCATCAAAATTCTGAAAATAGATTGTAAAATAAGACAAAATAATTAGAAAAAATACTTCTCATTTTAAGAATTTTGTTTGAATTAATGCAACAAAAGGTAAGATTAGGCCTGAAATATTCTCTTTCAGGTGTTTTCTGTAACTTTTTGCTTATTTTTCAATGAAAATCTAAATAATTTTAAAAAATTTCTAATAGGTGCAAAAAATCATTCTTTATTCTTCTTAGATCGCATTTTTTGAGAAATTTTCTTTACTTAAAACAGTTTCTAGTTTATTTTTAAAAGAAAAAACTACTTTTTTGGCTGCCTTGTATAGTTTTTTGCTTATTTTACCTGAAAATCTAAACGATTTTAATATATTTCACTGGATGGAAGTTGAACATTGCAAAATTGAATTTTTTCGTTTATTTTTGATTATTTTCATGTCGCATTTTTCAAGAGTTTTTTAAATTAAACCATGAAATTGCAAGATCTTCATTATAAATTTGTATTTCCGCTTAGATTTGGTACATTTTTAATAAAAATTTTGTCTATTTTTTAAATTTTATTTATTATTTTAAAGATTTAGTCCTGAACTAAAAATAAATACTAAAAATATAGCTTTTGCAGTAAAATTCTGAAAATAGGTGGTAAAATAAAGAAAAATAATCAAAGATAACTTTTTTGACTTGTTTTTTTTTAATATAGGTATAACGAAATTATGAGACACCATTCGTGAAATAATCCAACAAATAAAGAAAAAAAGTAGGAAAGAGAAATAAAAAAATTACAAAAAAGTCTACTGTTTTAGTTTGTTTAATTCATTTTTATTACGTATTCAGTAGGTTTCTATTGTTTTTTTATTTAGTTTCATTATTTTCCCAAAACTATAGTTGAAGCAAAATTGCGTTTGGGATAGAACGTAATGTTAAAAACTACTTCAACTTCAACTTTCTATGACAACTGGACAAAAGTCGTTGAAACGTGGTATACACTATTTTTGGACAAAAGTGGTTGAAACCTGGTATATTCAATTTTTGTCTAGATAGACCAAAAAGTATTTTTTTTTGTCTCTTTTTTGTATCATTGTATCATCTTTATTCTTCTTAAATGGAAATTTTTTCAGAAATTTCTTTACATAAAACAGTTTCTAGTTCATTTTTAAAATAAAAACCGACTTTTTTGGCTGTTTTGTGCACTTTTTTGCTTATTTTTTATGAAAATCAAAACGATTTTAATAAATTTCGCTGAATCGAAACTAAAAATGCAAACTTAGTTTTTTTTTGTTTTAATTTTGATTATTTTCATATCGTATTTTTTAAGAGTTTTTTTTAATTAAACGATGACATTGCAAGATCTTGGTTATAAATTTGTATTTCTGCTTCAATTTGGTGCATTTTTAACGGAAATTTTGTCTATTTTTTGAATTTTGTGTTATTTTCATTGGTTTCTAACCCGTTTATTAAAAGAAACACTTTTTCGTGTTTTTGTTGTTAATTTACTTATGAAAATCTAAATTTAACATTTTAAGCAAATTCTACTCAATCCATCCAATGAAAATCTAACATTTTAAGCAGATTTTGCTCAATCCTTCCAAAAAAAGTCAAAAATTGGTCGCAAAATATGTGATTTTGAATAGTTTTTTCCTACAAAAACAATCCTAAAGTGAAAATAAATATTCAAAAAATATAGCTTTTGCAGCAAAACTCTGAAAATAGATTGTAAAATAAATCAAAATAATTAAAAAAAAACATTTTTGACAAAATTGTGAGACACTGTCCGTTAAATAATCCAATAAAAAAAGAAAAAAAAATAGTTCTTATTAGACTCTTATTATTTTAATTCGATTTCCGAATAATAAGCCGTCAACTGCATTTAAATTTTCAAGTTTTTTTAATTTAGAAAAATTGTATATTTGTCCTTGAAATTTTTGATAATCTGAAAAAAAATGATCCGACTCGGGAATCGAACCCCAAACTTTCGGGTTGAAATAGTCAACATAAAATTTTTATTAATTTTTTTTTCAGCTCCATAACAAGTGCGTGGCCCAGGTGAAAGCCGAGTGCGGTTTAGGCGAGCACGCCGTCCACATCCTGCCGCCCACCGCCATCTGCCCCATCGTCCTGGACCGCCAACGGTCCCTCCAGAAACGCGGCTCCAAATACGGCCACGACAACGTTCGTCCCCCCCGTTTTCAGCCCTCTTCCCGATAAAACGGACGTTTTTCAGGGCAATTTCTCCAACACCACAAATAAACAGCCGGCAATGTCCTTCCAAATCACCACTTCGCCCAATTCCGTCCCGCTGTTGGTCTTTATCAACCCCAAATCGGGCGGACGCCAAGGGGCGAGAATTCTCAGAAAGTTTCAGTACATTTTAAACCCGAGACAGGTCCACAGTCTGGCGAGTGGGGGCCCCATGCAAGGCTTGAGCATGTTCAAGGACGTGCCCAATTTCAAGGTCGTCTGCTGCGGCGGCGATGGGACGGTCGGATGGGTGCTGGAGACCATGGGTGGGTGGAGACCATCGAACTAACAGTGACCCACAAAATATTTTCTATTTCCTTGTTTTGGTTTTTTATTTTTTTTTTTTCCAAAAAATTTCTTTGTTTTTTTAACTATAAATTCAATTTAAGAGTTTTTTTGATAGATAATACAATAAGTAGTATAATTTTTGACTTAATTTGTTGATTTTTTTTCTGGCGAAAAACTTGAATTTTAGTACAAAAATGTGCTGAAAAGCATTTTCGATCAAATTTTGTATTTTGTCGGTTTATTTTTGACTTAATTTTGCTCAAAATCTAATTAAATCAAGCGAAATAAACAAAATATGTATTCACTGTAAAGCAGGCTTTAACGTCAATTTTGACATTACAAAACATCAAAATGATAAAAATATCATGAGTGTCAAGTTGACTATCTAAAGGTCGTTTCACAAGTAATCAATGTTGTCAATTCAAAATCCGAATTGAAAAAGTTGATAAAACATCTATTTTCTCCAGATTACAAGAGAACGATTTAAATCTTTCTAATAGCGTCTAAAATTTACGTATTTTTACATAAAAATCATATAATATAAAATCTTTTTTTTTATAATAATTTAGTTATTTTTGACTGGGTAAAAAACGGAGTTTTTAGCTTAAAAATCTGCTTAAACTTTCGAAAAAAGCAAAAATGACATAATTTTTGGCCAAACTCTGTTTTTTTCGGTTTATTTTTGACTTCATTTTGCTCAAAAACTGGTTAAATGGAACGAAATACACGACATACATTTTCAATTTTTGACACTTTTTGAAAATTTACTGTAAAACAGGCTTTTTCGTCAAATTTGACATTTCAAAACGTCAAAATGACAGGAACATCACTGAATGACAAGTTCAATATAAGGGCCGCTTCACAAGTATCAGTGTTGCAAATTCAAAAAAAAAATTGACCACATCTGAATTGAAAAAAGTTGATAAATTTACACCTATTTTTACCAGATTACAAGATTACAATATAAAACTTTCTAGTATCAAGAGTTTAGGTTTTTTTTTTCGAGAAAATCATAACTTCATTTTTGGCTTAACTCTGTTTTTTTCATAGTTTTTTTTTTCACCAAAATTTGCGAAATAATTGTGTTTCTAGGTGAAAAACGTGTTAAAATACCCGAAAAGTGTGCTGAAAAGCATTTTCGATCAAATTTTGTGTTTTATCGGCTTAAGAAAAAACTAGTTAAATCAAGCAAAATAAACAAAATAACATCAATATCCATTTATTTAAAAATTATTTTTTTTTATTTTTTTGTGTTTCTTTATCCAAATTACACGAAAAACCATTATAAAGTGTTCCTAGCAAAATTCTAGACTTATCATAAAATATATATCATAAAAGCATACAAAAAATCAAGACAAAACGAATTTTTTGAGATTCCAAAATAGTAGACGTAAAAATTTCAATTTCTTTGTTTCTTTTTTTTAAACTACGAATTCAATTTTACAGTTTTTTGACAGATACGAACATTTATTCATTCTCGACCATTGAATCTACACAAAGTGTCCCAGAAAAAGTTTGTTATTTTATTTGTTTTTTTTTTTTAGTTTTTTGTTTTATTATTTTTTATATTTTTTTTTCAAAATTCAAATAAACTAATTATAAAGTTCTTATAGGAAAATACTATACGTACGTATAGTATTAAAATAAATATCACAAAAATATGGCAAAAATCAAAACAAAACGAATTTTGTAAGATTCCAAAATAGAAGTCGCAAAAATTTCAGTTACTTTGTTTGTTTTTTTTTTCAAACTATGAAATCAAATTTTCAGCCTTTTCACTCTTGACCATTGAATTTATATACGAGTAAAGTGTCGTAGAAAAATTTATTAATTTTGTTTATTTCTTTTTTACATTTTCTTCCAAAATTCAAATAAATTCCTTATAAAGTTTTTCTAGAAAAATACTTACTTATTATTAATGTAAAGGATATTACCGTTAAATAAAGTTAAAGTTATTATAAAGTTAGTTAGTTATTTTATTTTTTTTATTACTGTTTATATTTTTTTCCAAAATTCGAATAAAACAGTTATAAGGTTTTCTACCATAATACTATACTTATCATAAAATAAATATTACAAAAATATGGCAAAAATCAAAACAAAACGACTTTTGTGAGATTCCAAAACAGAAATGGCAAAAATTTCACTTAAGTGTCTTGTTTGTTTGTTTTTTTTTACTACGAAGTCAAATTTACAGCTTTTTTACTCTCAACCATTGAATTTATATAAAGTGTCCTAAAAAAATTAGTTATTTTATTTATTTATTTATTTGTTTTATTACTTTTTTACATTTTCTTCCAAAATTCAAATAAATTCCTTATAAAGTTTTTTTTGCAAAATACTGGACTTATCATAAAATATAGCATATCATAAAAGCATGGGAAAAAATCAAGACAAAACAAATTTTGTGAGAATCGAAAACAGAAATCGCAAAATTTTCAGTTCCTTTGTTTGTTTTTTTTTTTTTTTTCAAACAATGAATTCAAATTTACAGGTTTTTGACCATTAAATACAAAGTGTCTCTACTCTTTTTATATTTTGTTTTTATCCACAATTCAGTTCCTTTTGCTTTTTTTACTTATAAATTCAGTTTCTCAAATTTTTGACAGTAACATAAGATGTTATTGCTTTCTGGGGGAAATCTGAAATTTGATCTGGGCCAGCGTAAAATTTCGAAAGTGAAAATGTGTTGACCCCGAGGCCGGGTCTCGACGTCCCTTTATGATTTTTATTTTTAGACAAAGTGGAACTGGAATGTCAGCCGGCCGTCGCCGTGATTCCTTTAGGGACCGGCAACGACCTGGCCCGTTGTCTGCGATGGGGCGGGGGCTACGAGGGCGAATCGATCCACAAAATGTTGCACAAAATCGCACGAGCCACCACTGTCATGCTGGACAGGTGGTTGATCGAATTGTCCGACACCGCGCTTCCGGATCCCGACCAGAAGATCACCGACACCAGAATCCCCTACAACATCATCAACAACTACTTTTCCGTCGGAGTGGTAAGTGGCTTTTCCTACGACCATATACGAAACTAGTAGTCCGGTCAAATTAGTCATAAAAATAGTGGTCAAATAACGAAAATTCCGACAGAGCTAAATTTTGGTGGAGACCTTGGGTATACCATTAGAAATAAAGTGTCAAAAGTCCCCATCGATCCCATGTGTGCTAAAAAAGTTATTCGGGGTCAAAGGTCAATATTTGACGTTTTTTAGATTTT